CACATTCTAGAAGCACTTCAAGGTGTCGGTCGGTCGGTGTGTGTGTGTTAAGAGCAGCGAGTGTGTTGTGGTTGTGTTGGATTAAGATCTTTCTGCAGGAAGTGTTTGCAGTCACTCCGTGTTCAGCAAAACAAAGTTTGTGTAAGATAAGCAATAGAGGAATGTCTGTGCCAGGTTGGAGCACTGGTCGAAATACACTGATCATTAGTTCAGAAGAAAATAAAGCTCCTCTAATAACTGCTTACATAAATACACCCAGAGGTGAAGTGTCTTCTCACCCCCAGGCAGAGTGGTTCGTTTTGTTCTTCCAGTGGGAGGGCTGGAAGGTCAATACAGCACAGCTTGTCGTTCCCTTTAGTGCCTGTATGGATTATGGTCTTACTATCTGTGTAAATGTTCCGGTTTCTGGAAGACACTAAAATCCTAATAGTAGGGAAATTGGAGAGGAAGATAAAACATTGCCTATAATATTGTAAGTGAGGAATTATAACCTGACAAGATACCATCCTTAGATAAATCTTGACTTCCAAAATACTCCTTTTGCTTTACTGCAGGTGGAGATTTTTGCCCTGTGCTCTGCAGTGAGGTAACTTCTCTGGAGGCTGAAGGAGTTAACACAGAAATAGATGACAGATTAGTCTGGGACAGGCTGTGATTTGGAGTAAGAGAACTATTCCAAATAGCTGGCCAGGCACCAAGCGGATAGACAGTTTGGAAAACATATCGGCAGAGCCATGGTGTTCTCTGGAGCAGCTCTGGGTGAGGATTATCTGTCAATTTAACTGCCGCGCTATAGAGTCTGACTGACATTCCCAAAGTGCCTTTAGTTTATATAAAGAAAAATGATTAGCAAACACATATTTTATCTCTGGGCTGCTAATAAATTGAATAAGAAGCTCCTCTTTTCTTTCCTTCCAATACATGCGTAAAAAATAGGGGAAAATATTTTGATTAGAACATTTCCACTCCCTTTTCTTTTTGTCGTCGCTGTTCTCCAGCCAGCTGCTGAGCTGATGAAAAGTGTGGAAGGGCTGTGAGAAGGGAGATTTTGTGAAAATGAGGCTCATTTTCATGGGAGTTGACTCATGCAAAATTGAGTTCCACATAATTTAGCAGGGATCTCTTGCAGTACAGATAAGTCTGTCAAGCAGTGGTTGCAGTTGAAGAGGTTATTTCCGTCTTAACTCTCCTGGGCACAGCTGGAAGGTGGGATGTTTCAAAAGGGGGAAATCAGGAGTGAGGATACAGTGACTGAGCTCCCCACGATACCAGGTCAGCGTTTCGGTTTTATAGGTGTAAAACAAAGCGACTGTACTTTTGAATCGTGAATTTTAATGATTGCAAGCAATTAAAAGCTGCTGTTCTTTTTCTTTTACCAGCCGTTCGCTGACCTAGATAACACAAGTGAATGGCCTCAGTTCATTTCTCTTTGAACAAGGAAGCACAGTGAAAATATTGCCATTACGTTGGGTTTCCTCGCTGGCATCTCTGCTGGGAGGAGGACTGGAAGGGCTGGAACAGCCAACCCGCTTTCAAGTCCTTCTCTCTGGAAAATTTTCTGCTATTGCTAATATCTGCCAGGGCAGCACCAAGAGTGTGAGCGAAGGCAAGATGTTGGGGCAGCCGGAGCAACCGGGGCTGCCAAAACCTGGCGGTCCCTTTGCCAGGAGACACTGGGAGCTGTGTCTGTCCTGGCATACTCAGTGTTGCTTGAGTGGAGCTCTAGAAGCGGGAAGGTCTCCAGACAAAAGGCCAGTGTTGACATAGTTGTGGTGTCTCCAGGCCATGGTTGAGATGCATCACTAGGGTGGTATGAGGGGAAGTTTCCATTAACCATTGTTCCCAGCTTGCATCCACCACCACTGTGGAGTTCTGCAGCTGGATTTCCAGAAGAGCTTAACGCTCAAAAGCTCTCATTTCAGCAACTTAAATAGAGGGGCTAAGTTCTTTCCAAAACACTTGGCAATCCTCAACCCCCATTGAGAACAAAGCTCAGCACATGAAACAGTCCAGCCACTTCACTGTGAAGATTTGGCAGAGTGGTTGAATAATACAGAGATGGGCAAGAGAGGCATCTGGCTCCCCATGCTGAGCAGTGAGGTGCTTTACCTTCACTGGCCTTGGCGCCTGGTGCTGCAGGCTTCCTCCTTGGTGATTCCTTGCGCATCGCAGCCTCTGACCAGCTCTGTCTCTGGGTGTTGTGACAGCTGTGGAGCTTGCTGATGTGAGGATTAGTCGGCTGCTGGGCACATGACGTTCAGATCGCTTGTGCTTATTTGACCTACCTCTGATTGCAAGGAATTTAGTGCATAAAAATAACACCCAGAACAAATTTGGCAGAAGGATGCATGGCTGAGGAGCCATGCACACAGAGGGAAAGGAGCTTGGAGAGCAATGTAACATGAGGCCATGTCCTGTACTCCTGCAGTAACAGCGGTGCCAAATCCAGCGCAGCCCACGCTGTCTTGGGTTACGATGAGTTCCAGCACCACATAGATGTAATGGCCATTAGCCAGTAAACTAATGAAGACAGGTTCCTGGCATGTGTTATTGGCAAAACTTGGTAGAATAAATAAAAGGGTAGCAAGTGCCAGGAGTTGCTTAATGTAGAACGCTGGACATGGCAATACTGGTTTTTCTGCCTTCGGTTTCAGACACCCTGTGTAACTCTGCTCTCAGTGGAGCTCCTGCTCATCTGCAGGAGTGTAACAGGACGGGGTCAGCCTGCATAGACTGATGGAGGCGAGTGTACCCTGCATGTGAGGGCAGTATCTTTTGGGCTCCAGGTGAGAACGTGTAGCTGTGTGCATGATGTGTTCAGGCTTTGCAGTGGTGAATAGCATTCACCTTGACTGAGCTTTACACCGGCACCTGGGATGCCTTATGTTTGCTGAAGCAACCAGGTCTTTAGTAGTGAGAGCTTCTAAGACCCAGGGAAGTGAAATGTGTGCACACAGGGAATGAGGCAGGATCCTGATTGCTGTAGGTTCTTCTCCCACGTCACCTTGGAGATGTGTCCCTCTTCCCTTTACTTTGTGATTGCATTGGTGCAAACCCTCAATTTCCCGTGATTAAAAAGGGCATTTTTGCCCTTTTTCAGAGAGATACTGTAAAATTTCTTGAGGCCAATGATTACAAAGCTCACGTGGTTGTGTAATAACAGCACATTATAGATTAATGATAATATGTAAACTGATACTGTGTACCTAGAGCTTCGGCAATATTTAAATACAGGTTCTTTTGTTTAGGGCAATTAGAAAGCTGAGACAGATTTCACAATCCACTTGACTTTTAGAAACACCCTGCATGCTCACCAGCAATAATACAGAAGTATTTAGACCTGGTGTCTTGCTTGTGTCTTAGCTCTTTGACAGGATTTGCACGATTTGTGGTGCATGTGTCTATACATTTCTCTGCATAAAAAAAAATACCAGGCTGTTCTGGTACCAGCATACTCACATCAAAGGAAGCTTTCCTGCATTTAAGCCTTTAAATAAGCCCGTGTATCCGAAATGAGATTAGCCATCCCTTTGGAGCAGGGCCTCGGTGCTCTGAGCCGGTAGGGCTGGCGTTAGGGCAGTTCCTGCCAGGGTTTCCCCCCGGCGCGGCTGCAGTGTGTTAAACACGAAGCGCCCACTAGTGAAACCACTAGTGAAACCCCGCTCCCTTTCCGACAGCCATGGAGATGCATTAATAACTTTGATCCTCCTTTTCTCTTCTCCCAGGCCCTCGCGAGCCTTTCCTGGAAGCTGATGTTATCACAGGACTCACAAAAGCCGAGCTGTCCCTTAGCAAGCCCTGTTGTGCGCAGTGCAATCCCCTGGTGCATTTTCTGTGCACTTCCAGTGTTGTTGCTGCGATCACCTAGATTAAAATAATGCATTGTTAACACCGGCCTTGGCTTGGAAATAGAAACGTTGATCATTTTACACCCTAAACAGTGCAGATGCAGGCTCAAATAAGGAAATATTATGCAGTCACAGGATGTTTGTGTCGTTGTTCCGAAAGGCGCCGTATTTCTAAAGGCAAAGTGAATTAGCTAATAGCCAAAATGATAAAGAAGAATGGGCTCCAATCAGAAGTCGACCCTCTGAAGCCTGTGGGGCTTGTGCTTCTGAGGCATGTGAGAACTTCTGAAGGTTCTGCCCCCAGGGATAGTCCCTGTTCAGGCAGCTGACTTCAGGGTCCTATTTTGGGAACCTTTGGTTGGGATTTTAAATTGGATTTTTAGTGGGAATGGTGCCTGAATTGGTGCTGGAGGATCCTGAAGGCAATATCTAAGATTCAAAAAGGAAAACTGAGGGGGGATATAGTTCTTTGCTGGGGATAGGCTCCTTTTTATTAGATTTTATATACCATAAAAGAGCAGTGTGGCATGAATCAGTATTCATTTTTGCAGAGCATCTTTAAGTAGTCATTGTAGCCTTTCATGTTCAAGTTTTCTTCATTGTCATTTAGAATATCGCAGGTAGGATTTCAAGTCTCCTTAGAGGAGTGCTTCAGCACAGCTTGACAGTGCATTTTCATGAGGTATTGTCCTATTGCAAGTACTGTACATCATTGTAAACTAAATGTACCCCCAAAGGTATCTATGAATAAATCTGTGTATGAGAAAACCAGGAGGCATTACAGTATGGTGAATAAAGCGGAGCTAAGTGACAGTACTTAGGATTTGTTCCCGAGGATGTGATCTTAATAAAGAGGCATGAGTTGAAGCAATGTCTAGTGCAATCGGTGTTGGATTCACTGATCTTACGTGGGCATCCAGGATGATTAGCAGCTGGAAATGGGAACCAATTCTGAACATAACGGCATGAGCATGTCTGAATCTGAATAGGCAGAATGGCCAGTCTGGTATTTAGCAAGAGTGGATACCGAATTCACAGTAAGGCTTGAAGAATTAATCCATGTAAAGCATTGTGAGATCTTCTAAAATCCTTGTTCAGTGATGTTATTTACATATTTTCTAACATATCTGGCTTTATCCTTTCTTTCTATAGGTCAGATCTTGCCAGCAAACCGAAACACACCGAGTCCCATTGATCCTGAGACTATCCAAGTTCCTGTTGGCTACGAACCTGATCCTGCAGATCTTGCTCTTTCCAGTATTCCTGGCCAGGAGATGTTTGACCCTCGTAAGCGCAAGTTCTCTGAAGAGGAGCTGAAACCACAGCCGATGATTAAGAAAGCTCGCAAAGTCTTCATTCCAGATGACCTGAAGGTAAATTGGAACTGGTGACGAGGTTGGTTGTATTCTGTAGAAGTTCCACTCTGAGGTACAGGTTTGCAGCATCAGTCTGGTTTCTCCTGTAAGGTAGATCTGCCAGACTGTGTTGTAGAAGGAAACTGTCAGCGGTTCTGAATAAGGCTGAGGGGAGGATGTCCCTTATTAGTTATGCAACAGTCGAAATTCATGAGATCAATATTCATTTCCTTTGTATGCCAGAAACTTCCTGCGTGACCTTGGACAAGCTTACGTTGTCCTGTATTTCCCACTAATGAAACAGCCTGATCATGTTTCCTTTTCCTCCAGCCTCAGTGTGTCTCATCAGCGTAAATGGTGAATTTTGCAAGGGAGAATCTATGTCTTAAGGGTTCATGAGGTCCCTGACAGTAATAGAATGAAGTATATTGTGTCTTGTTTGGGAGTTGCTTTAGCTCTGTACCAATAACTCTGTATCCCAGTAATGAGTGGGAGCAATATAGAACAATATACCAGAAGCCTAGGTGAAAGAAACTAAACTGGTTGTAGGAAAACAGAACAAAACTCTTTTGCTGATCTGTATATTTTAATACAATATTTATAAGAATAATATTACAATATTTTAAAAGAAAGAGCACCCTTGTCTCTGCCTCTCACTGCTTCTGAGATACGAAGAGCAAAGAGCATGAGGAGAGCAGCACAAATCGATCAGCAGATTCAGTTATTAAACAGCTGTGAAAATTGTTGTGATTTGCAAAATTCCATCCTCAGCACGTGATTTCCAAGAGGATCTTTTCTGTCAGAGGTTCTCAGTGCAGGATGCCACTGCCCCTCAAGACACAGACTGAAGCCTGTTGGAGCTGGTGGGAATCCCTGGCTGCGCGTGTGAAGAGACTGGGATGCCACGTGTTCGCACCAGATTGATAGCATTAGGGAAAGAAGCTGATGCTGTTTGCTATTTTTATCCTTAAGGATACTGCTGTGCAAGTTAAAAGCACAGAAATCACGATTCCAGTAGTGTTCAGGTGGTGTGTTGCTGTCACTTGGTCTGCGGTGTCTTCAGCTTTCCTTTACACAGGTCTGTCTGCATCATGCCATTACTTACCTAGGCAAATTTTACTGCAGAGAATAAAGAGGTGAAGAGGGGTGTGTGATACAGAAATGGCTGTAAGGGGACAGGAGTTTGGTGCCATTTATCAGCTTGTGGTGTCTCTTAGGTATCCTTACTCATCAAAGCAAAACTTACCAAAGATGCTGTTGGACTACCCCATGCCAGAGGTGGAAAGTGCCAGTGTCTTGCATGAAGCAGCGGGACACATAAGTTTTTAGCCTAAGACTGAACTCTAGAAGTTCAGGGTCTTGCATTTCCCTGAGATAATCCCATCAGTTGCCCTTGACTCATTTCAGAGTGCTTGACCCAAGTGCTGCTTCTGCCCTGGCATGTGGAGCGGCTGCTGAGTTCTGGGGGAGGGTAAGCAGATTAGATCAGTCAATCGTCTCTGGGTTGCATGTGATTTTGAAATGCCAGCCTTACCTCTTTCAGGCCTGGATTAAGGGATTTGCCATAGCAATTTGTTAAAATAAAGCGGGATGAAGCCTAGGTGGCACACTAATAAATTGCTTAAAGCTGATTTTTATGGAGTGGAATGAGATGGGAAATTATAAGTAAGATTTGGGTCATAGCTTTTTGCTGCATGCTGTTTTTAAGAGGATTTTGGGGGGTCCTATCTAAGTACAGGTGAAGAGCAACTTAGAGATAGGCTGGCTCCGCCATTGCTGCACACCTGGTTAAGCTAAACTGATACAGTGCACTTGTAGGGGACTTCTAGCAGTTGTGTTGCTCTTGCTTTGCCTTATGCGAGCAGCTGGAGAAGATGCAGAGCAGCAGTATCAGGCTTGGCCTGGTTTATGCTGAAAGACACAGGAGTGTGGGGTGTGTTCAGTGCAATGTAAGACCTGGCTCCTGTGACTTGTCATGGACATGGTGCTGTGCTTCCATGTGTGGTGAAAATGAAGGGATGACTCTGGGAGGGGAAGTGTGAGCTCTACTGACCAGGCAGTTTGAGGTATGAATGGCTGCATCACTTACTCTGCAGGGGACTGAATTCCCTTCTCATGGGAGATTCTGTATTTACTGAGTTGTTCAAAATCTCTAGAACTTAATTCAGTTTCTGTGCAGCATTGAAGCTGCCATTTCACTGAAGGCCACTTCCTTGGAAGAGTGGGGAAAATCAGGTAAAATGCGGCAGTTGCCTAGAGCTTTTGGTGCACCAGTGCAGTGATCTCCTAGAGGCAAGACTTTAGAGATAAAACTTTGGGAATGTGTTAACTTAGGAAACTTCAGTGTTAATGGACTTATTCCTGGCAAAAGCTTCTTTTCCCATGCTCAAAGCCTATTGTGCTCTTTGCGGATGGTACCGAAGCAGCATCATTGTAGTGCCAAGGACTCCCCTCCCAGTGACTAGGGTGGAAACAGGAATGCTCTGGGGCTCTGCAGAGAAAGAGCTTTGAACATTAAAAAGAGCTGCACAGAAGATGAAATGGATGATACCAGCGAACAGAGTGAACCAGGTGTTGGCTGGCAGAGATGAGCAGGGACATACAAGAGGTAATTAGCACCGCTCCAGCAACGGTAGGCAGTGAGTCATGGCACGCCAAGGTGGATGTGCTAACTAGGTCAGCCGAGATGCATTGTGCTGCTGGAATATCGCTTCCTTTTCCCTTGGAGGAATTCACAGTCAGGAGGATGGGGGGGTTGGCGTAAGCATTTTGACAGAAAGAGGCATGAGCATCTGTGCTCCCCGGATGGGTTGTGCCATGTACATCTGTAACGGTTGTCCCAGCAGTGCCTGGCTGAGCCGGGCAAGCAGGATAAAGTGAAGTCATCCCCGGAGCGCAGGCTGTGGCTAAGAGCACATCCTGGTGGCTGCTCGGTTTTACTGAAGTCTAATACCCCGTTTGCTTCTCTCCGTGTTCCATGAGCAGGATGACAAATACTGGGCAAGGCGCAGAAAGAACAACATGGCAGCGAAGCGATCGCGGGACGCGCGCCGCCTGAAGGAGAACCAGATCGCCATCCGTGCCTCCTTCCTGGAGAAGGAGAACTCGGCTCTGCGCCAGGAGGTGGCCGACCTACGGAAAGAGCTGGGCAAGTGCAAGAACGTCCTTGCGAAGTACGAAGCTCGACACGGGCCCCTGTAAATTGGAAAGGGGGCAATGGGGGGGGGGGGTTTCTTTCTTCTTTCTTCTTTCGTTGCGGGTTGGCATTTGACTAGATGGACGATGTGTTTCCTGTTTGATAGCACCACACCCAAACCAACCTTTCTGTCTTCAGCACTTTACCAGAAGCAGAAACAAAACTGACTTAAACGTTAACTTCTTCTTTCGTTTGCGTATGCGTGTCCCTGCGTTCGTGTGTTCACATGTCTGTACCCGTGTGTGTGCGTGTGTGCATGTGTGTGCGTGCGTGCGTGCGCATCTCAGCACTTCCCATTTGTATGAAGCCCTCTTCAAAAGGGTGCCACATTTTTACCTGGACTGTTGAGAACCGCCATAGTAAGCTTTTTATTACATACGGTGTTTTCTTTTCAGTGCTGCTTCAGAGTAGGGGTTTTATGTTATTGTAACCAGCTCCATCCCGAGGGACTCGGAAAGATCCCAGGATAAATTATAGAAAAAAAAAAGAAAAAAAAAAAAAGGAAAAAAAAAAAAGAAAAAAAGGAAAAAAAAAAGTAGATCTCAGTTTTTTTGGAGAGTAACGAGCTCGTGTTTGAGTCTGTCTATCAGAAACATTAACACGCTAATAAAGTGCACACATAATTTAGTACTACACTGCAGAAATATTAATTTATAGATTGCTTTCGTTGTATTTTGAGTTTTGGTGGTAATTGTCTTCAGATTTAAAGTGCTGTTAGACTGAGTTAGCTGTACTCATTATAGAGCCCATAATGGCTTCTCTGTAGCTATTAAGGTTCCTTTTCTTTCCACAGACCCCAGGTAGGTAGGAGTCCTGTCGATGGACTACAGAGTGTGTATTTGCACTGTCTGTACCTGAAGCAATAATCCTGTTGTACGCTAGCGCGCATGCTGCCCGGGTGTTCCCAGTGGACGTAGGATGGTTTCCCTCCCCAACAGGAGTTTTTAATGTCTTTAACAAAAAGCTAAGGGTAAAAGCCACCTTCACGTGAGCATGTTAATTGTGTCCCTGCTCTAGGGAGCGCATGTGTGAGAAGCAGGATAATGAGTTGAAATGAGAACAAAATCCAGAGTGTCAACCCAGAGCCGATGTCGAAACCAGAGGGGCTTTTCTGTCTTCAGTTAGTTTTGCATCTCTTCAAGTTCCATTTTGTGATTGAAAATTAAATAAATACCCTGATTAATTTGTTTTTTCCCCCCATGTTTTGTAATATATTTTCTGTGGATTATATCTTGCTGTTTTAAAGATCGCGTTTATTCAGTTAGAAGAAGTCACTGGTTTGCAAAGCCCATTTTTCCTAGTGATTGTTGTTCTGAGTGTGACATGAACTGATGGTTCTGAACTTATTGTTTTAAACTCTATTTGCTTCTGAACATGTTTGTTCTAATATAAAGTGGACTTCTGAAAAATGAATGTAAGAGACACTGGTGTATTTCAGAAGGGGATGGTGTTGTCATATACTGTGGTTAATCCAAACAATCTAAGTGTTTACTATAGACCAAAAGGATAGAGATTATAAAGTGTATAAAGTTTATACAGAATAATTATAGTATGTTCGTTTTGTACAGTATTTTTCAAGTACAAATACTGACAATGTATTTTGAAAGACAGACATATATATAGCAAAAAAGGAAGAAAAAGCTATTCCATGTTTAAAACTATATAGCAAAGATAGATATATATTCTCCATATTGTACAGAAAGGAAATGCTATGGGGTTTGTTGGTTGATTTTCTTTCCTTAACTAATTCTTTAATATTTTAAGCCTACCACTGGCACACCAGCATGTTCTGTGCTTTACATTAAATTTTGATGGCAGTAATATGGCTTTCCAGGATGTTCCATATTACTGGAAAAGAGAGACTTCTTTATTATTTCCCATCCAAAACACATAAAGGAATGATTTAGCAGGGACAAAGCACAACCTGGATTTTAGTCAACTGTTGACGGGACAGGACAATGTTTTGTAAAGGCAGAAAAATGATGTCTAAGACAAGAAATCTCAGTCATTTCTAATCTGCTGCTGCTGCTGCTAGAATCTGTTTCCAGCTGAAATGTTTCTTACAGCTAGCTCTGTTTGGGGTATACAGTTGTACGTGCTGCATCTGGTTATTAACAGGTGAGGAAAACATGGTGCTACGTCTTGCTCACAGTTCTCCCAGTGTTTTGACCTTATTTTCAAATAAAGAGGTTGTTCATTCCATTAAATCATTAGTCATGCTTCAGGAGGTTGATACAAAGGACTCCCCCTTTGTTCAGCATTAAAAATACCCTCGCAGGAATGGCATCTTTACAGTATTTTTCCTCAAACGTACCCGAGTTGTCAGCAGTCCTTAACGTGCAGGATTTGCAGTGGACAATTCATTCAGCAAATTGAGTTTCCGTGTGCTGCAGCAGAGTTTAAAGCAAAATAAGTTATTTTCTAATGGTCAGTATAAGCCACTGGATGCAGGGGTAGAGAAACGAGACTGGTGGTGTTGGGCACAACCCAGTGTCTGCTACAGCCTCTATGAGATAAACTTCATTTCTCTTCTTAGAAGCAGTGTGACCATGGCAGGGCTCAGCTGCTGCTGCTGTAGGGGACACTTTCAGCAGCAGCACAGCAAATGGCAACAGCTTAGAGTCACCCTCACAGTGGTTGTTGTTGGGGTGACACTAGAACAGGCGATGGTGTGAGTGAGATCAGCTGTACCGAGCCCGAGCCATCGGTGGGCTGCGGTGTGAGCACAGAACTTCCTTTAACATGGAAAAGGCAGCTTGGAAAAACAATTGCAGGCGATGCTTTAGTTTGCTTTGGGCAGGGAAGGGGCGGGAGGTGACGGTAGTTTCTGTAGGCTGGAGAGCACAGATGTATTAAGTCACAGCCACAGAGGAGCATGGAGGTTTCCAGCAGCTACCTCGTCCAGCGGTCCCCAAGCTGCTGCCTTGCCTCTCAGCCCCATCCCGCTGTGCGGGTGGATAGGAAGGTGAGTGTGTGTTTGGGGGTTGGAAACAGGGTGAGGGGGAGCAGGACAGGCCCTCCTGGTGCCTCCAGAACGGTCACCTTTAAAACAAGAGAGGAAAAGCCAAAGCAAAGGATGGGGGCTGAAACTCGGAATAGGTTCTGTAACCAGTACAAAGTAAATGCAGGCCAGTTCAGCTCAGTTCCGGTTCCTGAGGACAGCTCAGCTGGGCTCGTCACACCTCTGGTGGCTTTGATGCTCATGAAGGAGCTTGTAGGTGTATGAAATTGTAATTTTATACAAATAGAAATATATATATTTGCAGAATAATGACTAGCTTGTCTGAATGATTCACTGACTTGTATTAAACCGTAAATAAGCATTGATCAAATGCTGCTTGCTTTTTTGTTGTTTTTTTGCTGAAACTTAGAAGTGATTCATTTCTTTTTACAAAGGAATGCCCTCTAAAATCAAACGGCGTTTGGGATGTTTGTGAGCACCGCGGGGCTCTCTGTGGGAAAGCCCATGGCAGACAAGGCTGGGGGGGGATTATTCCTTTTCATTTCCTAATGGTGCTCAAGGCACTGACCCTCGCACCATGGGAATAACGTTCGGACTTGAATCCATAAAAGCAAGAAATTCCCAATGAAAGTCCAGTGCCAGAGGCTCCGTGCTTGGCTGTGCTCTGTAGCTGCACACGGGGTGAGTTCAGCAGGGCCAAGGGACCCCGGCATTTGACTCTCTTGCCTCTGTGGGTTTGTAATGCCCCCGTTGATGCTTTACAGCTGTTTGTGCATGTGACACACTAGAGATGTGCAGTCCAGTTTGATTTTGTTGACTTGTTTTTATATGTGAAGAGAAAAACAAAATGTATTAAAACTCACAAGTGATCAACCATCGTATTTCTGGCAACACCACAAGGCAGCGTCTGTTCCGGTCCAGGTTCGGCAGCGAGCTCAGCGGAGCTGTGTGACAGGAGGTGGATGCAGCCTGCGCTGCTCAGCCCAAATCCTCTTTATTTTTGTTTTATTTTTTGTCTGTTATTCTTAATGTTTAATAAACTTTGAACTTTTTCTTCTCTCACCGTGTGCTTTGGTCTCTCGGTGCCTGCTCTGCTCCATCAGCGCTTCCCCTGGAGCTTTGGGAGGCTGTGTTTGAATCTTTCTCCCCCCAAATGATGGTCTGGGAGTGCCTGTGCCCTCCAGTCCCGGCTGTGTCCCATAGGGGGATGGACCCCAGGTAATGGGGTGCAGTGTCCCCCCAGCCCAACCCTGCTGCTGCCAGCAGCCTCAGTGGAGGCTCATCATCCAGTACCACCGCAACCATGCACTTGGGTTAGAGCATAGGTTGCTAACTGTGCTGTATTTAGTTCTAATTTACTGTTTTAATATTGTACTTACATCACACTATATAACAAACTGATACAGTGTAGGCTATATTACATCATTTACATAGATAGACACTATACACTCCATATATCATGGGAGGTGATCACGTATGACTACACAGCGCACAGGCAGTAGTACATTCATTAAAGTGCTGCTTAATGAGTATTTTTTATTCTAGTATTCAAAATAATGCATTAACGTTCATCTCCTTATATTTAATATTTTGTATAGGCCATAGGTAATATGTACTACATGCTTTTAGATACAGAGTTTATATATAATACAGATAGTGAGAGGAAAACTGTAACTTCCACTATTTATGCATCTTAAGTCATCAAATAGGTGTATGGGTTATTCTATACATGACACACATCTGTAGATACAGAGGTCATTGATATAAAGCCAGGGTTCAATATATATGTATTTATTATCTCTTATGTTCAATGTGTATTTGTTAACACACATGGATACGTGCACACACATATATAAAAACATACACAGGCATGTGTGTAGACACATACAAAAACCATGTACATCTATACACACGTACCTGTGCATGTGTGTGCTCTTCTCTCTTCTTGCTATCCGTCCACATAGTGTGATAGACACATATGTATGTGGGTGTGTGTATATATATACACACATATAAACATATATACATATATACACATATATATACGTGATAGATATGTGTATATATACACATAAATACACATATAAACATATACATATATACACATATATATACGTGATAGATATATGTGTATATATACACATATATAAACATATATACATATACACACATACACAGATATATACGTGATAGATATATGTGTATATATATACACATATAAACATACACATATATACACATATATAGATATATACGTGATAGATATATGTATATATACACATATATAAACATATATACATATATACACATCTATAGATATATACGTGATAGACATACATGTGTATACACATACATGTAAACATACACATATAGATATATATGTGATAGACACGTGTATATATACACACATATACATATATACACATGATAGACATACATATGTATATATACACATATAAACATGCATATATACACACATCTAGATATATATACAAGTGATAGACATATGTGTGTATATATGCACATATATATTAACATATATACATATATATATACAAGTGATAGACACATCTCTATTCTTTTATACATATATATATGCATATATATATATAAAGGGCCAAGTTTTAATATCTAGTGTCTTTATGCACAAAAAATGTTTAAATAACACAGTCCCTCTCTTGCTCAGCCCCCCCTGTGTGCATGCACCTGCTCATGAGTGGTGTCTATATAATATATAAAAATGATATATTTTAACACACTTAAGCACCAACAGTAAAAAATAATAAAATGTGAGTATTGAAAAGCATTTAAAAATTCTATTTTCATAAGCCATATTAGCAGCATTTATTGTTAAAAGTTAGCTTTATATTTATCAATACATATAGTAGATTTTATTAATATAAAGACTGGCTTTAATGAGACAGAAGTGTATTTGTTCCAACACACAGACACACAGGTTCACACTGAGCTCTCTATGTAGCTGTAGAGAGCATTGGTTTAAATCGGGTAATTACACTTTCATAGCATGTGTTTAGCAGCATTTACTTTATTACTATGACTATTTTTTATACATACACTGTATTTGCTATAATACACACCACACCCTGTACCATCAGAATTTACTAATTGAATATGGCTTTAAAATATATATTTTTAAAGCTTTTATTTATTTTAGGATAACTGCTGTGTATTATGCACACAATTTGCCATAATACACATATATGCCTGCACATGGTGTGTCTAGATGTCTATACACTGCTGCATATACAGCTATTATATATATAAATATATAAAGATACATAAAATATATATTAATAAATAATACAAACATATGGTCATACAACATACTTAACAGGCTTTAATAATCTAGGTTTATATTCATATATCTATAATTACATATTTTACTGCTATAAAGGTCTGTGTTTAATAGCCATTACGTATCATGCACAAAGTATATTTGTTACACCATACAGATGCACATGCAAGCACTCACACACACACGTGTGCACCCATATGCGTGCATAGACACTGTGTCTACCTATATAGCAATTTAGTGATTTAACTTCCATATAGTGTATGTAAAGGAATTAATAAACTTTTAATTATTTGAATAAAGATGACAAAGCATCATCACTGACATACAGGGGGTCAGTCTGAATGTGCAGTGTATATATTATCACGCAAATATCTGTTTTAATAAGTCACGCTCTGTATTAAAGTGATATGTTTTACACACACACTCACAGACACACATATAAATAATGTGCCTTCAATAAAGGTTTTACCTTTACCCTGTATTTTCTGCCCCATAATTAGCTGCAGTTTTTAAAAGCCAGGTTTAGCTGTTTGCATACATTTAAAAAGATTGAAACTGGATTTTATTGGTATGAAGATTTGCGTTTTAATAAACGTTAAACACAAAGGGCATTTGTTCTAACAAACACCCATACACACCCCTCTGTGTAAGTGCACATTTACCTGTAAAGGCACGTAGCTAATGATAACCATAAATCCGACAATTAGACTTCCACATAGCACATCTAACAGCAGTTCCTTGGTTCCGATGGCTTCATGGCTTTTTATAGATACACACACATGGATTTTATTGATATAAAGCACTAATTTTGCTATATATGTTCTATATCATGCACAAAATATATTTATTGTAATACACAAACACCTTGACTTTGCCTCTGTGTGTGTGCATGTGCACACGTGCCGTTAGCACGTGCCCTCTCTCCCTGTATGCATATATATAAATTTAATAATGATCCTTAATATATTTATAGCAATTTGCTGGTTAATACAGCTTTATGATAGATAGATGATAGAGATAGATAGATAGATAGATAGATATAGAGATACATAGATATTATTGCTATTAAGATTTGGTTTTAGGGTATATGTGATACATGAGGCACTAAATAGATTTGTTGTAATATACTCTCACTTTCATATGTGTGTGTCCGTATATCTATAGCTGTATCACCGTACTTCTTGTATATACAGCATGTAAGTTGTATATACATGTACCTGTATATACAGGTGTGTATATATATATATATATATAAACAGAGGAATATTATATATATAAACAGAGGAATATATATACGGGTATCACAGTATCACAGTATGTTAGAGATTGGAAGGGGCCTCAAAAGATATATATATATATACATGTACCTGTATATACATAAACTGTGTATATGTGTGTGTGTATATATATATATATACAGGTGTGTACATATATATACACACATATACCTGTATATGCAACGTCTACATTGTATATACAGGTAGAAATACAACTATCTTTTCATCTATATTATTATATCTATATATAAAACATATAATTTAACAATCTAGGTATGTATAGATCTATAATTATAAAATGCATTGCTATAAAAGGTCTGTTTCATATACATCAGCTATTATGCACAAAGTGCATCTGTTTTAACACACACAGAGTGTCTCTGTGCATGTGCTATGTGTATTTATAGAGGTACATTTACTAATCACATTTTCAGAAAGCCAATTTAGCAGAGTATTTTAAATAGATTTACTTGATATTTCCATATAGGAACTAGGTTTTAGTGATATGAAATGGGTATGAAACAGGTACAAATTACCCCGAGCCCAGGGTAAGTCACTACAATCACACTGCGATCGTGCTCTGTGCCACGTGGGCTTATATAGGGTGTCTGTTCACCAGCTTCTTATTAGTATATTCTTATATCATTTTATAACAGTCAGAATATAAAATGTCATTTTGGAGGTGTTTGTATTTTTTATATACATTAACACATACAATGAAATATTTATACATACAATGAGACAGTCATGGTAATGGCTTACTATAAAAATTCAGAGCTATTGTTAACACAGCATCGTTAACAGCATTTTAATACAATACATAAATATATAAAATAAACTATTTCAGGTCTATAACAGGGATTATGGTGATAGATAAAACTTTTCAATGTGTGTAGGTAGCTGTAAACCTATGTATATTGATACATATTTAGAGGTACTTATACCTAGTTGTATATATCCACATGTACGTCCGTGTATGCACATGTACACACTTGTTTTGAAACAAACCTGCAGGTCCCCTGAGCCACCCCATAACCCAGACCAGGCCCAATCGAAGTGGTTTTTAATTGTGGTTTTAATCAGCTGGTGCCTGCTGCCCTCTGGAGCTGCCCATAGGGAGACACAGCCCCAGAGCCCCACTTTGAGCCGCTTTAGGTCTCAGTTAAACTCTCCCCTCTCCTTACAGCAATTATTCAGGAGCGAAATAACCATGCAGCCGTACCCAGAGCACGTCAGGCAGCAGCGGTGTCCTCAGTAAGTCTGACCAGTGCAAAAAGAAGCCTTAAAGTGGTTCTTAGAGGTAATGAATAGGACTTGTCGCCATGCCTAAGACCGGTGCGTTTCTACTACACCTTTTTACATGTACTCATACCTTAACTGTAACTGTGCGCGATGGAAACGGGAGATACCCATGGGTGTGAATGCGGGGCCGTGTTTCATTTCAGCATTTCCCAGCTCCTTGCGGCAGC